AAGTCACATGGTTCTTTTGCATATTGATTCATACAGTGTAAAACTGTTCCTTATAGATCTCTAGTATCAACATTTTAAAACAAAAACAATAATGGACTTTTATCAGTTTGTTTTATGGTTGATCCTATCATCAGTACAGGAGTAATGAAAAATCCACTGCCAAAGCCATTTGCCACTTAATATACTGAGAGGACATAGTGCCTCCTGAAGAGTCAGCATTAATCGCAGGGGCAATACAGCTCTCACTGACAGAACAGTACAGCTCAGAGGTGACTACCAGGTCACGGGTGTTACAGTATTTATCTGGAGGAAAATGATGGAACTCTGATCACCTTTGATAGTTCAGGGGAAATTTTATTCTGCTCTGGGGGAAACCTAGTTACAATAAGGTAATGATGTAAAATGGGTTATGTCTAGATTCATATGATAATCAAGTTTATTTATAACACACAAAACATAAATCTAAAAATAATACGGAGCTTTCCGTGGACATGTGGAGCTGTATATTGATTGGCAAGAAAGATCCCATTCAGGCACAATATTCATTTTTGCACCAAAAAATCAGAAGGGAAGTACAGTAAAATTGCTTAAAAACATGTGGAAAAATGTAGATACTGAGGCAAAAAGGAACTTTTTTCTGTTCAGTAAGAGTTCTGAAGTAACAGAGATGATAGTGTGGAAATTATTATGTGTTGCATATTTTATGCAAATGCTGACCATTGAAAACAGAGGTGTTATATGATTTGAGCTTGCTTTGCACTAATACTTAAGCAAATGAACAACCAGACATTGGTGAGCTTTTTAAAGCTAATATGTCACAGACTCCTGAAACAAGTCCAAAGGCCTTCACCACATTTCACTATTACCTAAAACCTGGATATGTTACTGTATACTGGTAAATGAATGGAATGATTACATAGGCAACTACAGCTGCTAGACACACTGATAAAAGGTATTATTGGGAATAGTCATTATAAGATTCACAAAGCCAGGTCCTGCCAGATAAACATTAATGATATTGAATGGGTACCTAAAAGATTTTATATAAACAGGTCTTTTATAAGGTATTTGATAGGGTAACCCATTAAATATTAACCTGCATATCTTAGGTACAACAGTATTAATTAAGGTAATTGAATGAGTCATGGAAACCAGATTTCCTGGAGTGGTCTTTTGAGGAACATAAAAGATGTAATTCCCAAAAAATACTATAAAAATACTATATTACATAGTTACTGAAAATGTCAGATCTTTCAAATGATACAAAAGTACATGGAATCCCACATAGTTCCCATACCACTGCAGAACCTCCAAGGAGGAAGGATCAAACGTAATAATGTATAACAGTCTTTTACAAAAGAAGATTACAATGTTCAATAGTAAATCTGAAGTTTTTTCATGGGAAGCCCATGCTTTTATTATACTTGCCAAGATTTACAGTACCCTGATTTCTATAATAATAATAATTGCTTACACTGATATAGCACTTTTCTGGACAATCCACTCAAAGTGCTTTACAGGTAATGGGGACTCCCTCCACCACTGTGCAGCATCCACCTGGATGATACAACAGCAGTCATAGTGCACCAGAACGCTCACCACACACCAGCTATCAGTGGTGATGAAGCCAATTCATAGATTATTAGGAGGCCATGATTGGTAAGGGCCAATGGGAAATTTGGCCAGGACATTGGGGTTACACCCCTACTCTTTTTGAGAAACACCCTGGGATTTTTAATGACCACAAAGAGTCAGGACCTCAGTTTTACGTCTCATCCGAAGGACGGCACCCGTTTACAGTATAGTGTCCCCATCACTATACTGGTGCATTAGGACCCACATGGACCTCAGGGTGAGGTCCCCTGCCTGCCCCACTAACACCTCTTCCAGCAGCAACCTTAGTTTTTCCCAGGAGGTCTCCCATCCAGGTACTGACCAGGCTCACACCTGCTTAGCTTCAGTGGGTTGCCAATTGTGAGTTGCAGAGTGATATGGCTGCTGGCATATATAACACTTTTCATAATACCATTTACTTTTATCATACTTTTAACATAAAATGCTTGCACCCTCGCACATTTTAATATCTCTCCTCTTTAACCTTGTAAATGTATTAGGGATATACTCCCACTTTTTTGTAAAACTAAGTGTGCCTCACAGCAGAGGTTGCATGATACGCATATGACATACCTACAGTTGAAGCTATGCCTGTGACTGGAGATTGTGCTATATAAAAACACACAGCTGAATGTGTGTGCTAGAATGGTGAATTCATTCTATGTAAATAAATGTACATAATGCCTGTTATTTTCTGTCTGACTAGAATGGAATGAGAATTATTTTATAGTTTAAAAGCTCTGTATTTAATGGAATAAAAACAAAGAAAAAAATCCCTGGAATCTGTTTATTATCATTTAATAATACTTTGGCATGAAGCAATAAAGGCAGTGCTGAAATGCTTATTCTTTATATGCAACTTGTAAAAGCCCTTCTCTTCACTGCTCTCTTTCCCATGCATCATACATGGCATACAGTAAATCATGTTTGGTAATGAGTAGCTAATTGATCTGTGGATCTCTGCAAGCGTATTATGAAAGAAAACCAGGGTATTCACTTCTTCAGCATGGTTGAGTAGCTTGTTCCATACTCCCACAACCCTTTGAGAAAAGAAGTCCCTCCCATTCTCAGTTTTGAATGCATTTTCATGTAGTTTCCATTTGTGTCCTGTGGTTTCAGCTTTGCTGTTTATTATGAAAAAGTACATGAGATTTCTGATGAAGAACATCATGAGAATATTTCAGCTCAGTTATCTAGTGCTTGATTGCTTGATAATTGATTACATATACAATGCATATGCAATAAATTCAATAATATACTGTAGTAATAGAGAGCAGTACTTCAGGTTCAAGTTCACGTTTATTGTTATACAGTACTGTATGTACCTAAGTACTGTACAAAGAAATGCTTACTTGTGTTTTTTCTGACATGACAAATGATATACTGTACTTTAACACTTGACACAACATTGACATAGAAAATGACATAACAAAATTACATCATAATTCTTGGAGACAAGAACATGGTAGCAGCAATATTTTTAGCCAGCATTTAGATACCAGCTGTGTGCAAAATTCAGCAGTGGCAATATTTTCAGTTCAGTGCAAAAGACAAGTGGTAGCAGTATTTAGAGTTCAGTGCAAAACAGCGTGGGGGTTGGAGGATTTAAGAGTACTTCAGGGAGCTTTAACTAAACTGTTTGGTACTACTTACATGTATAGGAATTACATTACAAGGTATAGTATCTACAGTACATCTTCTGCTGCATAACCACTTGCCATTACTGGCACTGTAGATACAGTACAATGGTGTGTGCACATATATTTTGAGAAGTGAAACCATTGCATATGACCAAAGGACCTATGGTTATGGGTATTTCAAGAAATAAATTACTGTATTTGGGCAGACAGACCTTTGATGCAAAGGGGTTTCTCAAAAGAAATAAAAGAAAGCCTGACAGGTCAATTGATTTATCTGATTCAATGTTTGATGCAGGATTGGGGTCTAAGAATATGTTTATCTGAAGTATGTCAGTGAAAGGGGTTATACAGACAAAAATGTAAAAATATATTTTGGAAAAGTGAAATCTTCAGAGATATGGAGATGTTTAAAGTTAACAAAAATGAACTCTTAAACTTTAGATCAATTTGAAAGAAAGCAGTTTACAAGCAATGTGCTTATTGACACCTCAACTGTGTCCTGCAAGTTACCATTAATGAAAATCCATGAATAGCTGCCCCTACAGTATATTAAAATCAAAAGACTCCTTTTTATATTTTCAGTGATTATAAAATAGCACTCGTTCACGAGACATTTGCCATTCACAGAGAGATACAGTATATATATTGAATCCAAAAAAGGCAGAGCAGAAACGGAGATACACGGAACGTCGGCTTAGCATTTGGAAACACAAATAATGGGCTGACAGGTGGGCTCATAGATAACCAACTGCCAATATTTAGAAGAGCCCTGTAAGTTTTCTACAGACTTGTTTCATGGTGATGTGAGCGAGACCGAGCTTTATTCCGTCTTGTTTTTAGAGATCTGAAGTTCCCGAACTGTCTGCGAATGTTGCTGCAGTATTTGTCAAGATTTCTAAGCAGGATGAAAAATGCTTGTGGGCAGAAAACCAAATGCAGCAAGTTAAAAGAGAAGAACGACTATCCTATAAAATACCATAAATAGCAAAAGGCTGTTCATAATTAGAAGTTAGATATCCTCACACCAAACCGTACTAACGCTATCTCTCCTCCCATGCTACATAAATCTCAATGCTCACTGTGACAGCCCGTGTTAATCTTTAAGAAGGGAATAAACCACGGATTTCTTTAAAATGATTGTTATTACAATGCCTTTTCTCCATTCCGAGAAGAAAGGTCTACTACTGTACGTCTACCACGCCACAATGACATTTGTGGCGGACACTTTCTTTTCTATTTTCAAAAGTCATGGCGTTGACAAGAAATAAACTCACGCTTTAAAGACAAGAAAAACAACGCTCATTTGGCAATTCCAAGCTAAGCAACATCACGCTGCCAAATACGAAAACGAAATAAACTTTAAAGTTTGTTTTGTTTTATATTTTCTCCCAGCTACTATTTAAAAATAATATATCAAGATTAAGAGGTTTCATCAGTTATATTCCAACGTGGAATAGTGCTGCCGTTCATAAACTTGAAAGCACGTCGTTGCTGCTGAAATTAATTTAACTGCAGCCTTCGGATACACACAAAGCGAAACCACACTTTAGGATACAGACTACTCGTATCGAAAACAGTGAAATGTAATCCGTATCACAGGTTTTGTGTAATAGTGACGCAAAAAAAAGAAATAAGGAACAAAAAGAAGACCCTAATTGTTTTTTTATATTTTTCTTTCAGATCTTGTATTCCTCGGAAAATGCTTAAAGATCAAAATGAAGCCACCAGCATACGTAGCATGCTTACCTGTCCAACAAGATACTCTCCAAGGTGCTGAAACCTCGTTTTCCTTTATTAGGCACTGGAAAGTGTTTTTAAATTCCGGTTTTTCGAAACGCAGATGTGGGTTGCAATCCAGCGCAGTTGATAGGGGTTAGAAGACGCTACGTCCGCATCAGCCTCTCCAGTACCAAAGGAAACATCAGCAGCGTTAAGTAAATAAAGCAAATCCAAAAATTCGTTTTAAACCCGTCAAAGCACTGTAATGACAACGTGCACCTTCCTGTGGCCGGGTTTGCGATTCACATTCTCGCTTCCTTTCCCTTTTTTCATCGGCGCACTCTTAACACATAACTTCTCTCTCTCCGTCTCTCTTGCGTTTGTTCTTCCTCCGCCCTCTCAGAAGAAAGCATAATTTATTGGCAATTTGCTTATGTAGAGTCTGTCAGACTATTTGCTCTCTATCTTCCTTGCTCCACAGCTGTAGCTTAAACCTTTTTTAAAGCTACTAATAAACAGCTTTGCGAGGACCATACCCGGGGGCTGTCATAAAAGGGAAGCCCTTCAGCAGCGAGACAGGGATTCGGCACAGGGGGAAAGGTCGGGGTTTGAAGCGGTATGCTGTGGTGCTAGAGAGTCGCCGTTGCAGTTATGGGAGATCGGACAATGAGGGGACTGTGCAATGACATTAGCTTACCTATAGACAGAATCTATTATAAGCGACATTAAGGCGAGATCGGCACCAGAGCTATAGCTCTAATTTGGAAGAAGCAGATTGATATCATAACATACTGCAGAGTGCGGATCGTGCCCTTAGTTATGCGATATTGGAATGAATTGCGCCCGCTAAGGAAAAAAATAATTTGGGTCTTTAAGGTAACATTTGTATACCACCGACTGTTCCGTTAGATTGAATTCGTTAATTTTACTCAGAAAAACATAATTCAAGCTTAATTCGAAGTGATGTTTAATGCATTTGTCTCCTTAATTTTCAATCTAAAAAACACTTTATTTCTTGAGTCTACACAAAGACAAAATACAAATTAAGTCTCCTTGCAGTAAATCCAATGATTTCTACAAGACGCTGTTTGGAATAAAGGGAACAACTCTGAAGGTGTAACTAAAAGGTTGTGAGCTCAAATCACACATAGATCCTTTGAGCAAAGTATTTAAATCGTAAAAAATAAATACCTTCATAAATAAGAGAATCAACTAAATACTACAGCAACGATCTAAACAAAGTAACCCGTACAGTGGCCACTTAAGTCTGGCGTGCTATAGTGAGCTAGATTAAACTTCCTTGATTTAATGTTACTCTCCCTTCATGCCAAATAGATACTTGTTTTAGCTTGTTAGTCCTTCAAAGTCCATCAAGTATATGTGCAAATATACTTACTTTATACTGTATGTAACACCAATTCATCCATGACAGTTCACCTAGATAGATGTCAATTTCAACATACACTGTGTGATTAATGGAGCAGTGTTGGGAAAGTAATGTAACAAACAATAGGAGGCCATGCAGCTCATCAGCTAACTGATGCTAGGATATCATGCAGCCATTTCCTGAATGAAACCAGGGTATCATGCTAAAAACATAGCTGGGCAGCTTTTCCTATACACACACAAGTCTTTGAGTAAATATAAGATGTATGATATGCAATGGGTGACATCCCATTGAGGAAAGCTTTCAGACTATTCCATTATTATAGACCATAAGCAACATTGCCACCACACAGCCTGATCTAGTCAGTCCTCTGACACAAGTCAAGGCTGGGCCTGGTCAGTGCCAGAATGGGAGTTCTATAAGGAAACCCAGGTTGTTGTCAATGGTGTTTTGTAGACTAGTAATTGGTGCTCTTCCTTTAGAATAAGCATTTCCAGACATATGTGCCACTATTGTAATTAGGGACACTTTGCTGCAGGAGGTTCTCTCCTTTCGATGAGACTTTAATCCATAGTTATAAGTTTTTCATCATTAAAGATTGCATGACACTTGTAACAAGTAAGGCAGGAGGTTTATCTCTGGTGTCCTGACTGCACTCTACATTAGGCTTGCACCTTCAGAACTCCCTAAACGTCTCCCTTAGTTCAATTGTTACACTTCATTATTTGATGCCATCAAAACGGACACTGGCTTAGGTATAGAACAGCTGAAAGGGAAAGTCCAAGATCGGAAAGCATGGCGAGAGATGGCCTATAGAATTGCCGAGAGTTGGATCCGACTGACCGGATAACATCATCATCATCATTTGATTTGTTATGTAATGGGACTGACACATACTATAATTGCGATCATGCCTCATCCAAGTTTGGGGCTTCACTTCTGGGGTGCATGAAGTTGGTCTGTTTCTACATATTTGAAGTACTCTCACAAGTACAGTATTATCAGTTCCCAATACAATCTTCTTTTTTAGAACAACAAAATAAAGTAATTATATAGCTAGAAAACGTTTATCACCTAGCTGTGAAGAACATATAATAAATAACATAAACAAAAACAGGAAGCAGGCATTTTGCATATATAACATATTTTAACATTGAAAGTAACAAAAAACAGCATTAACAATGATAAATAATGATAAACAGAATCTCTGTTACTTCCAAACTATTAAGCAAATCATAACATTAAAGTACTGCACCAGAACCTTTGTAGAATGGTATTACAGAAATATGTATGCAAATAAGTAACAAGAGCACTCAATGACAAGCTAAGTGAAATCAGTTAGGCTGTGCAGATGGAAAAGTTTTATAAAAAAAGTTCTATAAATCAATCGGCCTATATTTTTTACCTCAGGTACAGTATGTTTTAATAACCTTGAGCTTCCTCTTTGCTCCTGCTGCTGTCATTGCGAGAGATTCCAATCTGAAGGGCCACAAGATAATCCACAGCAGCAACAGGAAGAGCCACTACAAGGAATTGTTTGCTCACATTTGACTCAGGGCCCTAGGAAGTTGACTAGTTCGCTTATGCCCAGGGTTGTCCCTGGTTTGAATAATCTTGCAATAAAACATTGGCCAGGGCTGGCATGCAAAAAATAAAACCAGCCTTCATACATACAGTACTGTACTTACTTCACTATCCCATGCTCTGATTAGATAAACTTTGACTAAATAAATGGCAGTGACTGACCAGATTAACTATATTCAATCATTCAACAGCACCTTTTGGAATCCATGCAACAACATTGAACTGTTTATACACAGATTAGAGCTAAGCAGCTTTCATTTTAGAGTCAAGTGCAAATGCTTCTGCTGGTCAAAGCTTTATTTTTCCACTATCATTGAATGGATGACAAACTTCCTATTCTCAGCTAGTGCCTTATAGGAAAAGAGTCTCACATAATATTCAAAATTAAATAGAGAAATGCATAAATATGGTTGGATCCCACAGAACCACTCTATAATTATGACAGTCTTAAACAGGAAGAATGAGAGGATGAACAAAACAATTTACTCAACCTTTACAAAACAAAACTGTGCATAGCATAAAAAAGAAACCATGCAGCTTTATAAGAAACTGTGCCAAGTAAGTAAAGCAAAGTCCTGTTTTGATTCATAATGAGCAGGAGGAGATGAATGAAGGTTATGCTGTTCTCATTATTTTGTGTCATCCGTGTTTTTGTTTGTTTGGAATCGACAGACCCTAACCCTTTTTCTCCTCTGTTGCAAGGACAGGTATCTTTCCCCTTTCCCCTTTTCCACACCATCTTCAAGTAAGGGATTAAGTGGGGAGTTGTGTGAGTGTGTGAGTTGCAAAGAAACATGTATAGGTTAATTCCACACTAGAAAGTAGAAATAGGGAAAAAAACATTTTGACTGAACAGCCTCTTAAGGTGCATGAAGAAAAGAACAATCATAAGAGCCAAAGGGATAACTGATTAATACACTAATCAATCAAATCTGCTACCTCAGTTTAGGGTACTGAAACATCCAATAGATAGCAAATTGCTGACCATTTTAATGTATAGCATGGTTGAGAAGCTTGCCTTACACTTTATTTAAACTCCCTGCTCATGTATCTAATTATGTCATTGTTTTGTGTTACTTTCTTCTCTAAACATTGGGAAGAAGAAATTCTCTGTGCTCATCAGCATTTGAAGGAAACGGCAGAACTGACGATGAAAGAAGTGGAAAGGAGTCCAAGCTTGCGACAAGCAACTCAATTAAGTGCTAAGTAGTGATTTCAAAAGACGTTATTAGGAAATGTGGTGGAGCTCTTTCTTTAAACTCCGTATTTGAAAAGCAAGTTTATATATAGTGTGACAGAAGTTTAAGTTCTTTCTAAAAAAATAATTTCGAGTGTATGTTCTAATACTCATTTTTCTTTGTGAATCTCTTTAAAAATCTAATTATAGATTATAGATTAATCTTTTCACACACAAAAATGTTCACTAGCTATAATGGAAGAGGTTGCTCTCTTCTTTTTTAGCTTTAAAGATAAACTTAAAGGAGGTGTGCAAATCTACGGTTCTTCTGACTTTATTGAAAACGGTAATTCAGTTACTTAACCAAACCTCATTTTTAGTTTCCTGGACATGATACAGTGTTCATGATTGTTCAGTCTCACACCAGATAAACTAAGGATTAGTGCATCATGTCCAATTAAGCACTTGTTGCCTTTATTTAAATTACTGGAATAAATGCAACATGGAAATAATATAAAAAAGTATTTAATTTGATTAATTTTAACGAGGGAGAACTAGAGTTACTATCTTTAAAGATCTGTATGGTTACCCTACTGGTAAACATTGAAATTGAAAGCTTGAATGTCATCTTCCACCTCTTTCCATATAAGGTGTGTCTGCAAAACATGGTGTCCTGGGGAGCTTTTTGAATAATTTATAACTGTGTTAATTCATGTATCTTGAGATCAAATGCTGCTATTGAGAAATGTCAAACACTTACCATAGGATGTGTCTTGCTGCCATGATTTACATTATCTGAGTCTGAGCCAGAGTGAAGCTAAACTGACAGTCATTCAGACACCTTAAGGTTGGAGATAAACAGCCAATATGAGTTTAACTGATGTCTTTTGGTAGCAGTGCTCATGGTCACAGTTTGTTCTTTGCATATTTAGAAATCTTGCAAAACTCATTATGATATTTTAATGAAGTGACATAAGATTCAACAAAACATAATACCTTCAAGAGCTGCTTATACTGCAGTGCTCCTACAGGACCTAATTTCTCAAAAGAAATGCAACTTTCTGTATTTTGTGTAAAAGGGAAAATGTCCTCAGCTTTCACTGAAAGGGGCCTTTATGTTTTCAAAGCTACTTATAACTCTGATAGGCCTGGTGCCTACAGTGACTGTGAGCAAAGCAGATAAGGTACACCAGCTCCACACCAAAGATCTCTTGCTCATTCCCGGATCTGCTCTGTAGTGTGGCAGCTCATTATAATGCTCATTGTTTTTTAGACTGACAGTCTGGCCTGCTCTGAATAGTTTTGCAATTTTAATGACTGAAGTCAAAGCACAACTTTTTATTAATTATTTGATCTTTTACTGTACTATTATGTGGGAGGTACTGTATAATACAGAATGCAAGGAAGAGGTCCGGGTAACATTCTTTCAATTGT